CACTTGTTAATGTATTATTAAAATCATCAAGAATTTATTCTTTTAGAGTATCTGAATTTAAAAGATTTCAAAATAAAATCATGAGTTTTCGATCTATTGTCATTATAGATAAATCAAAATTTAAACAGGCGAATGATGAAATGATTTGCTTTATTACTAAATCATGACTAAATGTAATTTTTGTATTTATCAAATTTGTGAAAATAGATCGAACTTGTTATTTTTGAACTAATATATTGTTATGAAATTGCTCTACATGTATCACATAGTTCATGTTAGACTGTAGTGAATGAATTATTTTTATTATTTGTTTTAAGAAAACGGTCCCCGTTTTCCGAAGGAGACGGGAGTGGACCGAACTCGACGGCACAGGTCCGAGTGAACCCGGGTGATCTTAGCCGATTGGCCGAGAAGCGATGCCTGTATTGGAGGGTAGGAAAGCACGAAATTGCGGCTGCAATGACACATCGCTCACTCCAAGGTTCGCAAAGAACAGAAAAAAATGAAACGCGTAAGGACAGAAGAGATATCGTGCCTCACTGATCGATAAGGAAAATTGCTTATTAAAACTTACCAAGAGGTAAATGATCTTTACTGATCAAATACATGTTGCGATGACGAAATCGTGCAGATTGATGGTAACATCGATCTGCCAGAGCAACATTTTTCACTTAAATAAAAGAAAAAAGAGAGTAGATGAGGTTAAATATTATGATACACGATTTTCTATTCGTTTTAATAGAATATATTAAACGAAAATCTAGTTGCCCGTTTAAAGTTTCTCACTAAAATATCGTATTTTTCTTTAGGAGTAGAAATGAATTATTTAATCGATAAAAAATAGCCTATATATGTCACAATATTATTCAGATCTAATTAAATCAAAATGAACTGCTGAAAATGCCATAGAAAAAATAGTATTTATTTTTTCATCATTTTTTCTAAGTTAACAAAAAGAAAACGATTCAATCTTTAATAAATAAAGGAGAAATCATTCATAAAAGTAATAGGATTACAATTGTTTTCAACAGCTCGACTGAATACATTTCCAATCAAACAATATTCTGTTTATTCATGTTGGAAGAAAAAGACTATAGAACATTTAAAACTCACAAAGTGTTCATACTATAAATAATCTCGACATTTACAAACAGCTGCTAGTTTCTTTTATTTAAGTGACAATGATCTATATCATCAAATTTTAGAGTAAAATATTGCTCTAATGGATCGAAATATGGTGCATATTACCGGCACAATTTTTTGATGGTGACTAATATAGAGAAATATCAAATCCGTTAAAACGTTTGGCATAGATAAAACTGTCATAGATTATGAAAGTGTTTATTTAGATAGTTGCCATATATCAGCCTGATTTAAATAGAGTAACACACGAATTCATTAATGGTAAATATTATCAATAGTGGTAATTAGAAATTACTTGTTGAGTAAAATATAATGTGGTTACAGTGGATTTTCACTCTTTTGATCTTTTCGTCAGTAAACACATGCAAGTGTTAACTGAAAAATTCGTTTAATGAGATGCTGCTTGTTTACTTTTATCACAACCTAACCCATGATCGATATATCAAATATGATTTTCATAGAGTAAAATAATTTCATCGTTTCAATTGCGCAGAGACTAATATTATTTAATCTTATGATTCACAATAGTTATTTGGAAGGATCTTCGGATCAATATGATTGTTTAATTAGCTATTGATGATCAAAATAGTGGAACAGCAATTAAGGACTTTTGTCGGCGACCAATCGAACATCATGTATTTCTCTAATTTACGAAAAGAAAATTGGATAGATATAATGATGTTGGAATCAGGAGCTCGAGTCGACATCGTCGATGCATACAATCTATATTTGGGGTCATGTGTGAATCTGCATTCAGTAGATTTATTGATGAATCTAGACCTATCTGTTCATCTTCACTAAAATTGATGACATTGGAAAAGCACATATTCAATACGGCTATTAATCAGCAATATGAAACTAATGGAACATGCTGTATTGATCTACGTGAATATGACAAGGGTTCACATATGTGATAGTGAGTTTTTAAGATCTGTCGTAAATGTTACATGAAGATCGAAAAAGTAATACAATAAAGCGTTGTGAGATGGTAAAAGTGTAATGCCTTCCGTTTTTTTCTTGATGGATAAATTGTGCAAGAGAATGTGAAAACCTCGACGGAGATAGCCAATAGTAAATACGTCGTTATTATACGACCACAAACGGTAGATCAATAATGGTTTGCTACAACACTTTTCTGGAGGTTTCAAATAGAGAGAAGATGAAGAATTAAATCTCAAGATTTATATAGTAAAACAATTTCTCTCTGCAATTAATAACAGCAGTTGAATCGTATTTCAAAATTTAATATCACACGAATTACACAAATAACTTTATCAGAGAGAAATTTTTAATTTAATACTTTTTTCCTCATATAATCTGTTTTCAAATAAAAGAAAAAGATTACTACCGGCTTAATATCTCAAACAAAATATACGAGAGAATTGTGCTAAGAGTCTTGTTGAAAGACGAAGAAAATTGTCTTACATAGGACAAATCGATTGTTAAAATGGTGTGGATGAACTAAATTGTTTATCTCTCGAAATCAATCTATGCAACGATCAGATGGTTGTTAGACGAAAAAAAAACTCTTAATGTGTATAATCATGTGTTTTGGACAAATCCTTGTACTATATATAGTGACATTTGTTTTTTTAATAGTATTTTTCCTTTCGCCTATTTAGTAGGCTGATTGAGAACTTGTTTAATACTAAGTGCAAAATACAAAATAGTTCAAAAGAAAAAAAACAGTCATAAAATGATCATGTACCAGTTTTTTTGTGAACCTTTAGTTGGACGTAAAAACTGTATATATATATATCCAAAAGAATATATTTTTTTATAAAGTAACGACATATTCTGAAAGTCCGTGAAATTTTACACCATCCTCTGTATATGCATTTTCGTTTACACTTATTCATTACCAGAAAAATTCGAGCTATGATAAAATACAAAATAAACTTGTGGAAAATAATAAGCGATGAATGCTGATTGTCAGGAGAATAAAATTAGGTTGAGATTTTTTGGAAAGTCATGTCCGTAATCTGAAACGTCTCCTTTAATTATGAGAAATAGTATTTATTTTTTCAAAGACGCCAAAACAATTGAACAGAAGCGGTGTATAAAATGTCCTCTCTTTTTGCCATTTTTTATCGAAAATCGAGGCCAGGTGGCACCATATAGATGTACAAGATTTTGTAGTGTATGGTTACTAACATAAAAACAGGATTATCTACACAGCACTAATAGGTACGAACAAAATAAAAGAAAAAAGGGTTACCTGCGATGATGCGTAGGAAAAAAAATCATATGTCTACAACAGCAAAGAATATAAATCGTGTTTCTCCACTCAATTTAATACAGTTTGCATTATAAGAGAAAAAAGTAAATATTAAATGAAGTGAAAGTTATTGCACAACACCACCGTAAACAGGAGTTGAAGTTTCTCGTGGTATCAATCGATGTGCGGTTGTTGATTTTGTTCACCAATGCCTTCATTGATTGTATTAAACGCTGTTGCAATGATATTTCTATTCATAAACATTTATTAAATAAGGGAAAAACAAATTTCTTTATTTAAATATAAAATAACGAAGAAATCTATCTATCGTTGTACACAGATGTTGAATTGTATTAATGTCAAGGCAATACATAATTATATGTTGAAAGTTGATATCCGTTCAAAAGTTTTAAAAGAAAGTGATCGTTATAACATGTTAATTTTTTATTTTCGACTACGTACGAATAATGGGTTACATCGTGCTGTAAGAAAATGTATTAGGCCCATCGAATAGAAGGATATCTGTTAATATCTAAATAACAGAAAGGGAAAAAAAGCTGTGGTTTGATTATATCTTGAAGGCAATGAATATTTTTGTATATCGGGTCATAAATTGCAGACGAGTGCAGTGCATGAACATCATAAACGAGACAAATAAACGTTCGGTAGCCTGTATACAATATTTATGTTAAATCGAGTTAAAGGTTCACTGAAGAAGACTATTTATATTTACTAGTTCTTATTGTGTTTAGATGGAAATCTACTTATCATTTGTCGTTATATGACATCATGTGATGTACTTCGTTCTTTCTACACACCTTAAACACCTCAAAGTCGTATTCACCGTTTGATTGCTGCTTATTACACTAAAATCAATCTTAATACAGTAACGTTTGAAGATTGCAGCTACTTGTTCCAGCTGTTTCTTGATTCAAATCATCCTCTTCGACCTCAATCATGAACACTTAGTGACAAGCACGTATCCTGTCAATCATGTCTTAAAATGCTTAATCTATCTCAAAGTGACGAAGTTACCATCAATAAGTTCTATACAAATATGAAAAAACTGGAACATCTGCATCTGACTATTCTTTACACTACCGAATTTAGTAAGTTTGATGAATATATATATATGTGAAAAAAAACATTAATACTAACAGTGATATATCTTGAGGGTGTAAGTGTGGATTGTATAGAAAATCAATGAGCCAAAAGCGTTTCCAGATTTCGAGTGTGGGATACGGACAGGCTGACCAGGTCAAAAATTTTAAAATCAGAAATTTTTTTCTCAAAATCAGAAAACGATCAGAAATGTTTTCGTCAAAATCAGAAAATTTTCAGAAAGAGTCTTTCTTTTGAGAAATCATTGATTTAATTGGTATCTAACACTTCACTGACTTTTCATTCATTGATCCACATTTTATTTTCAATGTTGTTCACTATAAAAACAATATAACATAATGAAAATATCATTTAAGTAATACAAAAAATAAGAGAAAAACGCTTCTTGTCATACTATTTCATTCAATGCAAAACTTATGTACAAAAAAAATACTAAACACTGCATATCTAATATGTAGCCGACACGATCACCAAATCCAATAAAAAGTAAATAAGATCATATAGTTTTATTTGAACATTAATATTTTGCATTTTGTCGACTTTGTTTTAACAATTGTGGTTCACTTAATACACGTCTATAGAATTGATTACAAGAATAATTACTATTGATTCGTATTTTGAGTTCAGAGCTGATTAGTTCCGTATTCATACGATTCCGATAATCGTTCCAGCAGTGTTTCATATTGCTGAAAATGGACTCTACAAAAGAATTTGAACATGGGATGGAAAAAATATAACAAATAATTTTTTTTAAATTCGCTGTTTCATTAGGACTGGTATTCAAGATATACGCCCATAACTCATTAGATCTAATGAAATCTTCATTTGTGTCGTTTGATGATGATGATGATGATGCAACAGTTTCTTCATCTTCCGAATCAGAATTACCATGAACAAAATTTTGATTTGTAACATTTGATATAGAAAATTCATTTGTTTTACTGGAAATATAAGATTTTACTTGATCATGTAATTTAATACTTTTTGTTTTCAGATTATCGTATAAAGATTTCGCATCATAAAATTCACTATATAATTTATCTTCGTCTAAATCACGTATATGAATCATATCTAAAACGTCAACAACATTTTCCATGTAAGAAATTTGAATGATTGAACACTAAAATATGATAGTTTTTCATAAAATTCACTATTATCGTCATAATAAGATTTAACATATTCGATTACTTGATTAATAAATGAATCAAACGTTTTAATTAATATATCACATTGTTTTTCATCTATTTCTTTTAATTTATTTAAAATCAAACGTGTATTATTACCATAATATTTATCGAATAATTTCTGTTGTAGCTTGTTCAGCAAATTGGTAATAATAAAATGAAGATCAACTGCTGTTGTATATGATCGTTGTAATTGTAATTCAGCTTTTTGAATTTCAAAAAGAATATTTTGTAAAAAATATAAAATGCAAAGATTTTGTATATCATTAAAAAATGATTGTAAAAGTCGTTGTGCATCTGTTGATGCTTGTTGATTTAAGAAAAACAATTTTAGTGGTTCGAAATTTTCAAGTAATCGTTCAATAGATCGAAGTAAACTCAACCACCTTGTTCTTATATGCTGCAATAAAACCTTAAAAACAGAAAATACTTGACGTTTTATAAATATTTCGTTTAACTTTTTTAGTTTTTTATAATCAAATAACTTACACTGAATTCAGTTTGTACAAATTCAAAGTATTTTTTCAAGCTTTCAATTCGTTTCGCTGATCTCGAGAAATAGGAGTACAATTTACATAAAATTGCTTCAATATCAATTGGCAATTCATCATGTGCAGCGTGTACCGCATTGTGTAATACATGACAAAAACAATTACCTAATGACGATACAAAATGCAGAGTTCGAATAGAAGCAAATATTCAATAAACGTATGTATTTACCTTTCAGTAGATGAGGTACTTTCGATTTTAAGAATTGAAAAACTAAATGGTGTTCACCATAATTGACGTTCGCGTTATCGGCACCATAACTAGTTAAGTTTTCAATTAGTAATTTATTATCATCGATAATTTTACAAATATTGTTGAATATATCAACAGCTGCTTCATGTGGATCACTGATAAACTCGATTAATCCTACATAACTGCATTGAAGAGTGTATTATATATTACAAAAAAGTAAAATAAAATTTGACATAATCAAAAAATCATTACCTCGACGAACACCTGTTGGAGAAAAATATTGAACTGCAAATGGAAAAATCTTACAGTTTCCTTTGTTTGATGCATCAACAGATAATGAATAATATTGTGCTTTTAATAAATCATCAATAACTTTATTTGTAAAATATGGACCAAGTACATTGCATACAATTGCTCGTGATTTAGTTCTACCACATGAAATCGATTTTGCTAATGATGATGATTCAAATGCGTTGCGAATTAAATTAATTGTACATTCTTGGGATCGATAACTGTGTCCATGTTTTACACCATGAAAAACAAATACACATTCAGCTGCTGTAATTTTATCTAATTCACGTTCTGGAATTACAAATTGTGCTAGTGAACAATTATTTTCGAATGCTTTCATTGATTTTTTATGTAGATAACTAGTCACGTGTTTTTCAACAGCTGATTTTCCATCACAGTGAACAGAAAACGTTTTAAGACAAGTTTTACAACGAGCTTTTGTTAAATCATGATTTACTTCTTGTAACCACGACGAGTATCGATCAATCGATAACCAATCTCTACGAAAAACTCCTTTTTTTCTTTTTGTTAGAGGCAATGACGTAGATGATATTGGCGTTGGCGATGTTGTTTCAATTTCTACATCATCATCATCATCTTCACTCATGTTTATGTCATACATCATGTAATTCAGTGTTCATTTGTGCATAGTATAATAACGAAAGACCATAAAAATGAATCAAAACAAGAATTTATCAAATTTTGGCATATTACGACTGGCTATAGAACTACAACGACCAATTATTAATAGAGAAAATAGATGTCAGTATCAATTTATAATAGTAATGCATTAAAATTTGTCGTAACTGTAATTTAACCGATAAAGCTGGAATCTTAAAGTCTGAGATTCCTAAAAAAATCAGAAAAATGTGCAAAAATCAGAAAAATCCTAAGCAGCTCCCAAAATCAGAAGAAAATCAGAAGATCAGAAAAAAATCAGAAACAGGTTCAAAATTCAGAAACTTTCCTGCTTTTTCAGAAGATCTGGTCAGCCTGGATACGGATGGGCAGAGGTGGTGGGAACGTGTTGGTGTGATTATAGATCTGTGCACTCAGCATTCCTACTCTCGTTGCTGAATTATGATGCAGTATGATGTAAGAACTCTTTTGCACTTCTTCATTCACTGATCATCTTCTGCAAATCAGCCACATATAAAAGCTACTTGCAAACAAAGATCCAACCTCGGCAATAATTTTATTGTCGAAATTTTTGCTTCTTCTTCGGAAGCGTTCTATTAAATTAAATGAAACGAAATATTTATAGTTTATGAATGTACTAGTTTTTAATTCAAGAGAAAAATAAAATAGTATCTATTGAGAAGCCACTTCATCAAAACAATTTCGTATTATATCAGAGATTGAAGGAATTATTTCAGATGAAGTCGATGAAAAACGCTCAATTCAGTGGGAAAAGTATCTGTCTTCTGGTTTATGAGAAATTTCATAAATCTTACTTGGTTTTGTCTCTCTCATTTATTGCGCAATCAGTATGTCGAAACAAGATATAATGGTGACTCACCATGGCAAGAATGTAACTACTGTGCATTTTTTGCTATTTGTCAAAGAATAAAGCTTGCCGCTTCTGTTACTGGAAAGCATACTTACCTGCCACAAGAACTTCCTTGATCACAAATAAGGAAGTCTTTGGTTGAGGCTCTACCATTGCACATCGGTAGCGTTGAAGCTAGCGAGAGGTTCACATAGGATCTCCTCGAGTGGATCATTTTTCCTGCTGGGTTGAGCGTTCGCGCTCGATCCTTCAATTAAAATAAAATAATTTTACNTATCACTGTTAGTATTAATGTTTTTTTTCACATATATATATATTCATCAAACTTACTAAATTCGGTAGTGTAAAGAATAGTCAGATGCAGATGTTCCAGTTTTTTCATATTTGTATAGAACTTATTGATGGTAACTTCGTCACTTTGAGATAGATTAAGCATTTTAAGACATGATTGACAGGATACGTGCTTGTCACTAAGTGTTCATGATTGAGGTCGAAGAGGATGATTTGAATCAAGAAACAGCTGGAACAAGTAGCTGCAATCTTCAAACGTTACTGTATTAAGATTGATTTTAGTGTAATAAGCAGCAATCAAACGGTGAATACGACTTTGAGGTGTTTAAGGTGTGTAGAAAGAACGAAGTACATCACATGATGTCATATAACGACAAATGATAAGTAGATTTCCATCTAAACACAATAAGAACTAGTAAATATAAATAGTCTTCTTCAGTGAACCTTTAACTCGATTTAACATAAATATTGTATACAGGCTACCGAACGTTTATTTGTCTCGTTTATGATGTTCATGCACTGCACTCGTCTGCAATTTATGACCCGATATACAAAAATATTCATTGCCTTCAAGATATAATCAAACCACAGCTTTTTTTCCCTTTCTGTTATTTAGATATTAACAGATATCCTTCTATTCGATGGGCCTAATACATTTTCTTACAGCACGATGTAACCCATTATTCGTACGTAGTCGAAAATAAAAAATTAACATGTTATAACGATCACTTTCTTTTAAAACTTTTGAACGGATATCAACTTTCAACATATAATTATGTATTGCCTTGACATTAATACAATTCAACATCTGTGTACAACGATAGATAGATTTCTTCGTTATTTTATATTTAAATAAAGAAATTTGTTTTTCCCTTATTTAATAAATGTTTATGAATAGAAATATCATTGCAACAGCGTTTAATACAATCAATGAAGGCATTGGTGAACAAAATCAACAACCGCACATCGATTGATACCACGAGAAACTTCAACTCCTGTTTACGGTGGTGTTGTGCAATAACTTTCACTTCATTTAATATTTACTTTTTTCTCTTATAATGCAAACTGTATTAAATTGAGTGGAGAAACACGATTTATATTCTTTGCTGTTGTAGACATGTGATTTTTTTCCTACACATCCTCGCAGGTAACACTTTTTTCTTTTATTTTGTTCGTGTCTATTAGTGCTGTGTAGCTAATCCTGTTTTTATGTTAGTAACCATACAATACAAAATCTTGTACATCTATATGGTGCCACCTGGCCTCCGATTGCACTTTTTTTTAAAATATAGGAATCCTCAGAGGATCAAGGTTGTCAAAAATATAGGATTTTCGATAAAAAATGACAAAAAGAGAGGACATTTTATACGCCGCTTCTGTTCAATTGTTTTGGCGTCTTTGAAAAAACAAATACTATTTCTCATAATTAAAGAAGACGTTTCAGATTACGGACATGACTTTCCAAAAAAAATCTCAACCTAATTTTAGTGTCCTGATAATCAGCATTCATCGCTTATTATTTTCCACAATTTTATTTTGTATTTTATCATAGATCGAATTTTTCTGGTAATGAATAAGTGCAAATGAAAATGCATATACACAGGATGGTGTAAAATTTCACGAAGTTTCAGAATATGTCGTTACTTTTAAAAGATAATTATATTCTTTTGGATATATATATATACAGCTTTTATGTCTAACTAAAACTTCCCAAAAAAAAACTGGTAAATGATCATTTTATGAATGCTTTTTTTTCTTTTGAAGTATTTTGTATTTTGTACTTAGTATTAAACAAGTTCTCAGTCAGCCCACTAAATAGGCGAAGGGAAAATTACTATTAAAAAAACAAATGTCACTATATAGTACAAGAATTTGTCCAAAACACATGATTATACACATTAAAAGTTTTTTTCGTCTAACAACCATCTGATCGTTGCATAAATTGATTTCGAGAGATAAACAATTTAGTTCATCCACACCATTTTAACAATCGATTTGTCCTATGTAAGAAAATTTTCTTCGTCTTTCAACAAGACTCTTAGAACAATTCTCTCGTGTATTTTGTTTGAGATATTAAGTCGGAAGAAATATTTTCCTTTAGTATGAAAACAGATTATGTGAGAAAACAATATTAAATGAAAAAATTCTGTCTGATAAATTTATTTGTGTAATTCGTGTGGTATTAAATTTTGAAATGTGATTCAACTGCTGTTATTAATTGCAGAGAAATTGTTTTACTATATAAATCTTGAGATTTAATTCTTCATCTTCTCTCTATTTGAAACCTCCAGAAAAGTGTTGTAGCAAACCATTATTGATCTACCGTTTGTGATCGTATAATAACAACGTATTTACTATTGTCTATCTCCGTCGAGGTTTTCACATTCTCTTGTACAATTTACGCATCAAGAAAAAAAAGGAAGACATTACACTTTTAACATCTCACAACGCTTTATTGTATTACTTTTTCGATCTTCATGCAACATTTACAACAGATCTTAAAAACTCACCATCACATATTTGGACCCTTGTCATATTCACGGAGATCAATATAGCATGTTCCATTAGTTTCATATTGCTGATTAATAGCCGTATTGAATATGTGCTTTTCCAATGTCATCAATTTTAGTGAAGATGACCAGATAGGTCTAGATTCATCAATAAATCTACTGAATGCATATTCACACATCACTCCACATACAGATTGTATGTATCAACGATGTCGACTCGAGCTCCTGATTCGAACATCATATATCTATCCAATTTTCTTTTTTCGTAAATTAGAGAAATACGTGATGACAAGCTCATCACATTCACTGTGGTTTCGATGGAGCCCACACCCACACCCCACACCCTTTTTTTTATAGATACCGCTGGTATACCGCGGTTTCGAAAATACCGCCGGTTAACCGGCCGTTTCTTCCGGTTACTAAAAATACCGGCGGTCTACCGCACTTTTCCGACGGTTCTATCTCTAAATCCGGTTTTCCGGATATCTATACCAAAAATACTTTTCTTCACCATGGTTCCATCTTTTTATCAACATAGAGCACTAACTAATCCTAATTACATTTTTTTCAGATAGATAAAAAGAATCAGTGATAGAGGGCGCTGTAAAAATATTTCATTCGTCAAGTTAACTTTATAACGGTAAAACCGTTAGATTCTAGATTTCACTTCACTCAGTTTTGAACAGATTGATCCATTCAAGAGTATTACTCTCAAATTTGGCGATTCAACTAATCATGGTAAACCTTGCACAATGAACAACTCATTTGAAGATGCATTGAGCAGCTACTCTCAGTTAATTTTTTTTCTAAATAATATATTTTTCTTTTTCGAAAACAGTTTCACGATAAATTCCTTTTTTTTTAGATATATATTTATTTTTTCAACACGAAATTCATTTACGAAATATTTCATTTTCTATAGTAATTAAAAATTTTATTTTTTCATATGTTTAATATTTATTTTTGTTTTTATTTTTCTAGATACATATTTATTTTTTCAACACGAAATTCATTTAAGAAACATTTAATTTTCTACGGTAAAGAAAAATTATTTTTTCATATGTTTAATATTTATTTTTGTTTTTTTCTTTCTAGATATTCATTTATTTATTCAACACGAAATTCATTTACGAAATATTTTATTTTCTATGGTAAATAAAAATTGTATTATTTTATACGTTCAATATATTTTTTTGCTTTTGTCTTTCTAGATATATTTGTTTCTCATATTGTTGTTCAACAGGAAATTCAATTGGTGTATAAGCTATTTTAAATGAACGAAGAAATTTGCAGAAAATTAAAGTATCCTCTACATGTGATGATGCAGTTCCCAATCAGGATTCAAATGAATCTGATCAATACTGGTCACTGGCTAATATGATTATCTACAGTTTTATTTTCTTTTATTGTAAAATATGTCACAAGTAGATCATGATCGTCCACTTAATTAGATATATATGTATATATTTCAGTATACTTTTTTCTGCTTTGTTAAAATTGCTTCTAATTTATTGTTCAGAAAGTTTATGTGTTCGTTTGTTGTCTCTAATTCACTTGTGTGTTTTTCAAGTGAATCATTTCTTTCGTGAAATTGTATGTCTATCGTATTGCGTATACTTTCATTATGTGAAATTGGTGATAAAGTAATAAAGATTTTTAAAATTTACTGTTAACAGTAAATTTAAAACCAAATCCAATATTAAAAGTTTTTGAGTTCAGAAATAACCGGTGGTAAACCGGGGATAACCGGCGGTCTTTTTGCCGGTTTTGATCGCATGGGTTTGCGCACATTCGGAATTCTACTCTATACAATAGCGCCATCTATTTGCATGAAACCAGTTCCATTGTCATTGTCATTCTCATTCGTATGGATACAATCACCATTCAGATCTTCTGATCACTTCGATTTTAATCATTATTAAAAAGTATAATTAGTATTCATTAATCTCCAGAATCACATCGATTTTCACGTGAACACCAAGTCTTTCTCAATCTGTTGTTGGTCATGTCAAATAATTTTGTTTCAATTATCGTAAAGAAGGATGGTCACAGTGACCCCATATTAATACCGTGTTCAAAACTCAACGAGTTGCTCCCACCCATCATCGAAGCAACAAAAACAAATGTTTTGTCAACACGATATCAACTATTCAAAGACATCGATGAAAAAATCATATAATTATTGTACAATTGCATCGTATCTTTCTACGCCCAGGAATTTTGTTCTCCATCAACTCAATAACGTGGAAATTGAAATGAAAGAAAGAGAATTATTAGATCGATTCAAACAAGAACATGAAGAAGCATCGAAGTTTTCAAGTCAATTGCTTGAAGAAGAAAAAAGTCTCTCGACACAACAGCAAAAAAAAGAAAAAAGAAATCGAACAATGTAAGTAAGCTCGATCAGATAACATCCTAGTCGAGATAATATTCGATTCTCTTTCATGTGAAACTGAAATGAAATATGAGAGACGCTCAGTAGCACGAAGGTCCAGAATAACGTTAAGGAACATGTTGTTGCAAGTAAATATCACTACTCTATATCATCAATTCCGCTCGTATTTCTCCACGAACAATATCTACACCTTATGAAAGCACACTAGTCGACGATCTTGACTTCGATCTGTCCAGATTCTTGTTTTCCTTGAATATCAGACAAGATT